CATCTGCAAGGTGAGTTCTCCCACACCCACACACACACACACACACACAACCCCAATAGACAGATGATACGGCAGTGGTGGGATGCATCACAAAGACGAGTCCAGCTACAGGCAGTAAGTGGAACTCTGGAGAGTTGGTGCAAGGAGAATAATCTTCACATCAATGTGAAGAAGACAAAGGAGATGGTCGTGGATTTCAGAAGGAACAAACACACCCACCCAACATAGGAGGATCTGCGGTGGAAGTGGTCTCCAGCTACCAGTACTTGGGTGTGCACCTGAATGACAACATCAGCTGGAGCACCAACAACACCAGCCTGATCAAGAAAGCTCATCAGAGACGCTACTTCCTCAGACGGCTGAGACGAGCTGGTCTGGGAAGCTCAGTCCTCACCTCCTTCTACAGGTGTGCAGTGGAGAACATCCTGTGCTCGAGCATCAACGTGTGGCATGGAGGCTGCACAGCTGCAGAAATAAAAGCTTTGCAGAGAGTGGTGAAGGCTGCACAGAAGACTGTTGGAGTCAGTCTCCCCACTGTCATTAGACATCTACACCTCCAGATGCAGGAAGAAGGCCACCTGCATCATGAAGGACCCCACTAACCCAGCGCACACACTTTTTGCTCCGCTTCCGTCAGGAAGGAGGTTAAGGAGCATTAAGTGTAGAACCACTAGACTGAGGAACAGCTTCTACCCTGAGGCTGTTAGACTTATGAATCTCTAAAAAATATCACATCATGTTGCTGCTGATCCGTTTCATGTTGCTGTGTTCATTCGTGCTCATCTGCTCACACAGACTCGTGTTCGTGCTGCTGTTCGGCGTATTGTTTGTATGCTACTAGTGCTCAACGTATTTTTAGTTAAACATTTTTCTTAGTTCACATCTTAGATCTTATTACTGTTTTTCTTTTACATTTTTTTTGTTGGATGTAACTGGGACCCTGTGTACACAATTTCATTCCACCACATGTACCACATGTGGTGCGAATGACAAATAAATAAACTCTGACTCTGTAAAGTACAAATTTCCATGACCTTTTTAAACTTTTAATGATAGCTCTACTGTAAAATATGCCTGAGCTTTAAAGCGCTAAAGTTTCACATGTTTTGCTTCAATCCTTATGAATTATCATCGTTAAAGGAAAAGGACTGGAAGCACAGAAAAACTGATGAAGGTTTGGCTTTTGTAATGAGTCTTTAGCAACACCTTTTAGTCGATTAGTCAGAAGGTTAGGACTCTTCAGTCCTCTCCCATTGCATAAGAACATGTTTGCCAATCCAACCTCAGGAACGTCTCCTGATTCTGAAACTACCTCTCAGACAATAATCAGCAGATTCCTGTGAACCGATAAGGCCTTGGTACCTGGAACAAACACGTGCTCCACAAAATCCTGCTCCTCTATGACACCTTAGGGACTGAATCCCATATGTCCTTGTGTGTCTTATCAACGTGGGAGAACATGTTCACTGTCAACATAGGATTACAGAAAGAAAAACAGGCAAAAATAAAAAAGATTTCCCAGACCATGCAGCATCAAGAAAACAGAGATGCACAAAGACGAAACTCGACTGAACGTTAATTCCTTTAAGGATTTTCTTTGTGGCTGTTTGACAAATGTCCCGTGAAACCAGTCTCTCCCCTTATACAGACCTATAAATCAAAGTGCTTTTGTGCAAAGTGAACAGCAGTCATTTGAAGTCTTGGTTGCAGCGCTGGATAATGTTTGTACGGCTCTAAATCTGGAGATTAAACTTATATAATTATATGTTTTAATTGTTTTTCCTTTATAACGGCATGCCAGGCTGCTGCACCACAAGTTTGAGCTTTTAGTTCACCTGTTTGTGCAGACTCTCCAGCTCCACCTCCAGGGTCTGCAGGAAACGCTGCCTCTCCACCAGCTCCCCCTGGGCTCCTCGTAAGGCCTCGTTGCTCTCCTTCACCTCGTTTTGCACCGTCTCCAACTGAACGTGATGCAAAGAAAAATAATTAGAAACGAGTAAAACGGTGAATGTGGGAACATGTTTCTCCTCGTACCTTCTTGCGGTACCACTGCTCCGCCTGCTCCTTGTTCCTCTTGACAATCCCCTCATACTGGGAGCGCAGCTCAGACAGAATGGTCCCCAGCTCCGGCCCAGTGGCAGAGTCCACCTCAACATTCACCTCATCTCTGGCGATGCGGGACTTCATCTGCTCAATTTCCTTCAGAAACAATTCAGCGTAGACCTATTTTAACCTCAATGTGTGCAAGTTTATTAGTAATGATTGCATGGTGAATGTTTCTAAATATCCCAGTTAACATCTGTGCAAACAGGGATTGTATTAAGTTAAAAGCAGCTTTGTGAAACTGAAACTGCAGGGTGGCATTTTCATTATTCAGGTGTTCTTCATAAATACTTGAAAGGACAGAGATCATCTTACCCCTGATCTATTCAACCTATATCTTTTCATTCCTGCTGAGGTGTGTGCAGTACATCTAACTTACTTTGGTTGCATGATGTTGGGTTTTGTCGCTGATGGGTAAAGGGGAGGAAAACAACTAATATTTATACAACCTCAGATAAAGAACCCTTAAATTAAACTAACATGCAGAAACCATGTGAAGACTGAGCATCTTACTGTCGTCTTAGCTTTAGAAGATAAGTTGCAGTTAAATGCTGTACATGTAAAATATAACTACTGCTTGTTTTGAAGGTTTGCCGGGAACATAAAAAACTCCCTTCGTTCTAAAAGACACTTCAACACAGCTTATGCTTGCAAAACCAGAAGGTCCTGCCCCAAGTGGAGGAGTTCAAGTATCTCGGGGTCTTGTTCACGAATGAGGGAAAAATGGAGCGACAGATCGATCGGCGGATAGGTGCGGCGTCTGCAGTGAAGCGGGCGTTGTACCGGTCTGTCGTGGTGAAGAGAGAGCTGAGTCAAAAGGTGAAGCTCTCAATTTACCGGTCGATCTACGTTCCTACCCTCATCTGTGGTCATGAGCTTTGGGTTGTGACAGAAAGAACGAGATCTTGGATACAAGCGGCCGAAATGAGTTTTCTCCGCAGGGTGTCTGGGCTCTCACTTAGAGATAGGGTGAGAAGCTCGATCATCTGGGAGGGACTCCGAGTAGAGCCGCTGCTTCTCCACATCGAGAGGAGCCAGTTGAGGTGGCTCGGGCATCTGGTTAGGATGCCTTCTGGACGCCTCCCTGGTGAGGTGTTCCGGACACGTCCCACCTGGAGGAGACCCAAGGGAAGACCCAGGACATGCTGGAGTGACTGTTTCTCGGCTGGCCTGGGAACACCTTGGGATTCCCCCAGAGGAGCTGGACCAAGTGGCTGGAGAGAGGGAAGTCTGTGCCCCCCTACTTAGGCTGATACCCCCATGACCTGACCCTGGATAAGTGGAAGAGAATGGATGAATGAATGGATGGATAGTAGGCTGAACTTTCTCCACAACAATGTGAGAGATAGAACAAAAACAGAAGGGGATTACGTCCAGTTATTTCTGTTATGACTAAAATAATTGTAGGATGGACTTAAAATTCCTCACATGGCTCTTCTCAATGTTGAGTTAGTTTGTATTAAATTATTGGTCATGTGTTGCTGTTCATAATGTGTTTGCGGAATTTCAAGACGCTTGATACTTCTAAGTAAAAAAATAAGATTTTTCAGTTTTGTCAAGCTAATGAGTTTCTATCCATGTCTATTTAAGTTAAGGGGATTTGAACAAATACAAAGAAAAAAGTTTTTGTTTGAAAGCAAAATGTGTATTTTTTTCAAATTTGGTGCACAATGATTGAATCTTTTCCTGGTATAAAGTAGGAAAATGTAGGGAACCTCATAAGAAGCTACATATTTATATCAGTTGTGATAAATGTTCATATTTTTATTTTATTAGGTGGCTTTATACAAAAATAGGAAGCAGCTACCCCACAACCAATGGGACCAAACTCATTAGTCAAATTAGACAACATACATTTAAAAGACAAGCCATTTGTTCTTGATGGATTACTGTAAGATATAATATTCTAATATACTTTAAGGGTCACCCAAATGGATTTTAGTTATTGTTTCAGTACAATTTTTATTATTCTATTTGCTGTTATAAGGGGAATAAGCTTCCCCTTCAAAGAGCAGCTGATTGGTCAGAAAGAGTCTATTTCTAAGCAGTCAGCTATCTCTTGCCTTTTATCCACAGTAACACTAGTTCCACCTCTCTGCACCCTTTTCTGTCCATTCTGGAACTAGCAAACCTGCAGAGACCACTAAACTGGGTCAGGCCAGCATCAAAACAATGTGCTGCTTGTCGAGGGCTTACTGTGCAAAATGAGAGATGGCCAAAGTGAAAACGAGACATTAAACCCCAAAAAAGGTTAAAAACAAGGAGAATGTCAGAGCAAAGTGAAGGTTGCCAAACGGTGAGATGAATAAATCCATATGAATGTGTGCATGTAAAAAGAGAAAGCATTGAAGTGTGACAAACATTACCTCCTCATGGTTTTTCTTGAGGAAGTAAAGCTCTTCTTTGAGGCTGTCCAAATCTCCTCGGAGAGAAGCAATGATCTGCTCATGGTCGGTCTTGGCCTTTTTCAGAGCAACGCAATCCCTTTCCACGGACTGACACATCACCAGCTCCGTCTCCCACCTGGTAGAAAATCATGAAGCAAAAAATGGCAACACAGATATTTCTCTAGTTACAATTTTGGATGCATATTTTCTCTTATTTGTTCAAGTTTTTTTTTCAAGTTGCATTTATAAGAGAATAAAAAGTTTTAAAAATAAATGTTTGGACAGATGCAAACTGGAGAAGACCTAAAATAGCCAATGAGACATAATAACCTGCATCACCTCACATAATGTCAGTTTCTTCAAACTATAGATCTAGTGCAGATATATCTTTACTGACAGTCTCTTTTGTGGACCACTATATATTAATATGCTTATTTTGATTATTTAGGCTCAGCAGAAAACAACTGCATAAAATTGCTACAGAACATGTGTTAAAAGAACGTACTATTTTTCTTTTTGCACAATCTGAACCAACTAAACCTCTGAAACATTACTTTGTTATAATTTTTTGCATGAACCCTCATAACTGAAAGTCATTAGTGTATTCCTCAGCTTATTAAACTTTGAAACAATGACTACATTTTAGGTACCACTTTACAATAAGGCTCCCCTTATCAATGGCTAATAAATAGTTTATAGATACATATTTAATTCCTTTATAAACACTTTACAAATAATTAATAATTGTTTATTATGCATTAATTAAGGGTGATAGAGACAAAAGTGACCAGTTTCTTGCCAAATAGTGAGCCAAATCTGTTATTTCATCTATAGTTGTTATATTAAACATTTCACACTAAGCCTTGTAAGCACAATAAGCATTTGTAAGCCTAATATTTTTAGGCTATAATATTAGTTGTAGATACTTATAATGCAGTGATAAAGTAGAATATTATACGATATATAAATAGGTTTACAAATGCTTATTGTGCTTACAAGGTAGTAACTTAGTCTGAAATGTTTAATATAACAACTCTAGATGAAATAGGTGAACAGATTTGGCTCACTATTGGCAAGAAAATGGTCAGTTTTGTCTCTGTCATCCTTAATTAATGCATAATAAGCAGTTATTAATGATTTATAAAGTGTTTATAGAGGGATTACTAAACTATTTATTAGCCATCTATAAGGGGAGCCTTATTGTAAAGTGGTACCACGTTTTATTTTGCATTATCAGGTGACTGTCCATCCACCTGATGCACCTTTCCTCATAAATCTGGGGACGGGGAGAACTCTCCAAACAGAAAAAATATATATATTTATTTGAGCAGGTTGGTGAGAGAAGTTTCCACAGCAGCAATAAGTTTGAAAATCCTTGATAGTTTACAAGTTTTATCACAAAATCCTTGATAGTTTACAAGTTTTATCGCAAAAAGCATCATTTGATTAAACATTTAATCATCTTTGTGTATTTACTTACTTAATCCGGAAGTCGTCAGCGGCCAGTTTAGCATTATCGATCTCTAACATGAGACGAGCGTTTTCCAAGGTCTTCTTCCTCACCTGATAAACATTAACAGTGGTTAAACACTTATTAAAGTCTAAATCACTCCATTCCTTTGTGTGTGGTCTGTTGGGCTCAAAAAACTCTGTAACATGGTAACATTAACAAAAAACATGAGTTAACAAATTTCTTCATTAAACTGTGGCTGATTCTGTTTTTTAAAGGGTAAAATAATCATTAACTTTGTCTTGGTTTTGTTTGGTACACATTAACTCAGTTTAATTCTTAAATCAATTTCCATCCGTTCCTTCATGCTGAGACAAATGCTGCCTTTTGAATGAATGTTGGGGGTTTTTTGTGCATAAAAACTAGATTTTGAACTTCCTGCCATGTGTCTGTTAATGTAGCATGTGCCTAAAGGCCTTTTCATCCCCACCTCCTGCTCCACAGCGTGTGCTTGGGCCATCATGGAATCGAGATCATGACCTTTGGGGACGCGGTCGAGCATCAGCTGCTTAATTTTCATCTCCAGGTCGGCGTTGGAGCGCTCCAGTGAGCGCACCTGAAGGGGATAAAGAGAAGGAGAGCGTTTCAGGTTACTGCTGAACCGTTTCCCTGACGACGCAGGACTCGTTGCAGACCTTGTCCAGGTAGTTGGCCAGGCGGCTGTTGAGGCTCTGCATGGCCTCCTTCTCGTTGGTGCTGTTGCCATGCAGACCGTTCAGCTGCAGGCTGATTGGCCCGTTGAGGTCCTGGCTGATGGAGGCTGAACGGCTCAGCGGGCTAGCGGCGACAAAAGAGACGGAGGCCCTAGAGCGAGCCCGGCCGGTGTCCATCAGGGACCGGCTGGAAAAAGAGGGCTGACGGTTCATCGAGAAGCTTCTCACCGAGATGCTGGAGGCCATGATGGTTGACTGCGAGGGCAGAGGGCGCGCAGATTAATTCAGAGGATTCGTTTCTGAGCAGTGCACAAGCTCAGCCACAAAATCATTAAACACAACTCCAAAAGTTTGACCTTTTTTTAGTAATTTAAAGCTTACTTTACACGAGATATGGTTTCAGAAAAGCTCTTAAGCAAATGTGCTCTACTGCTGCATTTGGCCGGCCTTTTAATGGAAATACAAGTAGGGCCTAATAGCCAATTCTGCAAATCACCCACTGAAAATGATGAAAGGAGTCTTTCAATGAGTGTATTTACAGCCCGACTAGTGGCCATTCAAATACCCATCTGCATCGGAGAGATGACTGGCTTTACGGACGGAGCCACTTCAGCGCGTCGCTCTCAGCTCCGAGCACATACAGCTCCAACTGCAGCCAGCATGAAATCAAAATGTAAATGACCACGGCTCAGCTGCGAGTCCAAGAGGAGCCTCTCGGCGAGGATAAAAAAACACTTTCACGGCCTTTTTACAATGATAATAAGATTTGCCTCAACATAAAACCCTCTTATAAAAACAGAAACAATGAGGGAGAAGTTGCACCGCTTGTATTTTCTTTAATAACAGGTGTATAGTTTATGCTCCGGACAAGAAGCATGCTAATGTTTGGATGTCGATCACGGCGTTGTCCTTGTAAGAGTGTTTGTCACGCAGGGTTTCAGTGGCTGATCAGTCGTCGCACTGAGAGAAACCTCTCTGTGCCTCCGTCACTTGATCCTCGCGGCAACGTTCCCACCACATTACAAAGGACCCACAAGGAGACAGGCAGGCCTTGTTCAGAAGAAAGGTAGCTCTTGGGAAAATGATCTAGAAAATATTCAGAGGGGATTCCAACGACACAAGGAGTCACTTTGTTCAGCAGGAACTGAACTGTCATTTCAGCTTTTCGTATTATCACCACCAGCTGACAAACGGCTGTGATGACAGCCTTGAATGAACATGAACAAAAAAAAACTATAATTTAGTTTTATATCAGCGAATAACTGTTTGTCATTATTCTAAAAGCTGAAGTTAATTAAACTAATGCAACTATTGCGCATGACATAGCTGAAATATGATTTATGATGAAGAAGAAATAGAATTCTTACCAATTGTTTTCTTTAGATGGAGCTAAGATGTGACCCAGACGAACGCAGGAGCTTCTGTGCTGCTGATGCTACAGGTGTGCTTATATTCAGGTGTGCAGGAAGTGGGAGGAGTTACTCTCCACTGAAGGTGTGTTTATCGTACTGCACCTGAAGGTCCTCAGAAAAGTATGTGATGAAAATAACTTTAGGCTGTATCACTCCTCAGTGATGTATTCAGGCTTACTTTCAAGCTGCACTGTAAAATTAAACTTGATCGTTGTGTTTTAATTATTTCTGTTCAACCCTGTTTGTAATTAACTGTCTGATGCTGTAAATAAAAAACGTGAATAAAATATAAGATGTGTCAGCATTTTTTTTTTTTTATTATAGTGCTATGAATAAATTATTACATGTTACTTTTTGATAACGTTGAAAACAAGGAGTAAAATAAAAAGTGATCGACTTAAAAGTTGGAGTAAAATCTAAAGAAAAATGTGTCTTCCCGTGACCTCAGGTTTGAGAAAGACAAATTTAGACAGATTGCTCTTTTAAGTAAAATAAACTTATTGGCATGTTCAAACTTATAAACTTAACTCCAAAAACAGAAATGAAAGCTGCAGTTGGTCACAAGGTGAGCCCACGTTTCATTAATTTGTGTTCTGAAGTTGTAACGGTTCATCAGGGGGTACCACAGGGATCTATATTAGGTCCCCATAATGTATATAAATGAATTGGGACAGATTGTGTCTGATGCTAATTTGCATTGTAATGCATTCAACACAGTTATTTATTGCACTGGATCCACTCCTATTCAGGCAATTGAACTATTATAAAAAAGCCTTTGCTGCTATCCATTGCTCTTTATTAAATTTTTAACTTGCCCTTAATACAGAAAAAAACTAAATTGATGTATTTTTCCAGATCCAGAAGTCCACAAAAGATCCCCTCTGTGTTCTCTTTCAGTGGAAATGAAATAGAGTTGGTTCACACATATAAATATTTGGGTGTTTTAATTGATGATTCCCTCACTTTCAAAGCCCATGTGGAAAGTCTTGTGAAAAGGCTAAAATCAAAGATGAGCTGTGTTTTTCATATACTGCTGAAAAGCGTCTTGTCTCTGCAACTTTTATGTCTGTTTTGGACTACAGAGATATTTGTATATGACTGCTTCCTCAAAACGTCTTAAGATGCTTGACTCTGTCTACCACTCTTCTCTGAGGCTCATTACAAACTCAACACACCATTGTGGTTTATATTCACGGGTGGGATGGTTTGGTCTGGCTGCTCAAAGCAACTCCCATTGGTTAACTTTTATTTACAAGGCACTGCTTGGACTCCTGCCAGCCTATATTTGTACTGCAATTGCACTGAGAAATGTTGACTCGTATCCTTTTTCGCTCATACGATTTGCTGCGTCTTTCTGTCCCTTTTGCTCGGACTGAATTGGGCAAGAAGGTTTCGTTCATGCTGCTCCCTCTTCTTGGAATTTGCTACAAGAAACTCTGAGATTGACTGAATTCATCTCATTCAGTGCCTTTACATCCAAACTAAAAGTTATTGAGGCCAATTCTATGACATGCACCTGTTTTTTATAGCTAGCTTGTTTTTATACCTGCTTTTTATAGCTTGACGTTTATTTTTAACTGTGTAAATTTTTTTTGTGTTATATTTGCTACTGCCTCTTGGCCAAGTCTCCCTTGAAAAAAAAGAGGTTTTTAATCTTAATGTTTTTTTGTTTTTTTTATTCTGGTAAAATAAAGGTTAAATAAAATAAAAATAAAAATCAGGAAGAACATCAGGTTTAGGACATTTGCCAAATCTTTCGTGTGAGTTCACTTTCAGTGATGACCCCCTGCAAATTAGAGATGCCACAGAACAGAAAGAAGAAAGCTAGAGAACTCTTCGCAATTAGTTTTAAAATATTTCAGCCCAGCACCACCAGGATAGGTAATGCCATGTTGATGAGGTTCAAAGTTTAAAGTTGGGGCTGAAAATTAAAATTCCACAAACCGGTTACTGATAGAAACAGATGAAAGGAACTCATTAAAACATTTAGTTTGTGACTGCTACTGTTTATACTTTCTTTCAAATCCTAAATTACTTTAAACTAATACATTTTCATCAATTTTGGAATTTCATGACTGGTTCAAAAACAAATGTGTTTTTTTATACCAAGTTTCTTGGCTAATAACATCTTTATTGTCTAATTTTATGCTCTTAAACTATCAATATTCTTACATCAATGATGATGATACTAAATATCCCAAGTATTTCAACTTGAGAAGAGATAATTGACATTAAAGTAAAGTTGCAGACACTTTGCTAACCAAGCTAACTAGATAGCATGGTCACTTCTAGTTTAAAAAAAATCAAAACACAGTGGCAAAATACAAAATTGAAAACTTTAAAACAATTTTACAGTGAGCAGAGATTAACAGCAAGACAGTTCTACTGTTACATCTGTTGGTGCAGATGTGGAGGAGTTCCTAACCATTTGGTATAATTGAATCCAACATAAACACTTTCATTTGGCCCTAATTTATGAATTTGGAAGAAAATATCTGCCTGTCTAAATGTAAGATTAACAATATCACCAGTCTTTGCTCGCTTAGAAAAATAATAAAGCCCACTACTGAATGCTGCAAAAGGTTAAAACCCAAAATAAGGATTTGTTTAAAAGATGGTGCTCTGTGAAACAGGGATGAAATTATAATTTTGTATAAAAATGTGTATTTCTGTGTTAATATAAACATGTTTATTAGATATTTTTAGGATTTTAGTTGTTGAATCTCGCACACAGAAAGAGTCGTCCCTCAGTTTCTGGTCTTGGATCAGCAGATGTCGGCCTGCAGCTCTCACATCCCTCCTGTCCTGCAGTCACTCCTCACGTCTGACACTTAATCCTGCCTTCCACCTGCAGATATAAAATATTCACCAGCTGCATCCAGGAAAAATAATCCTGCTGGTTTGTGCTGCTGGTGACAAAACACCTCTCTGTATTGAATCTCATTCATGATAGTTTGGAGAAATATTCAAACATTTGCAGATTTGAAGTGTCTTGATGAACAGGTGTCGGTTTTAGACAGATTAAAGTTTGCTAAAGTTTCTTATTAACCCAAAATAAAGAGAGCAAATGTGTGTGTTTATTTTGCAGACACACTTGCATAATTATCTTCCTACAGACGGGAGATTACTTTTTATACGTAAACTTTGTTCATGCAAAATCCCATGAAACAGAGGAACCTGCGATAACCAAACTGTGTGGGTGAAGCTCCTCATATTCAAATTAAAGGGGGAGGAGCCTACATTTGCATTATGTCATAGTTGAGTATTTCATTTGAGCATTTTTTATTTATTTATTATTATTAGATAATGATTAGGGTGTCCTTTATTAGTTTGTAGCTTTTAAAATTTGCTCTAGAATAACACGTACATTGATATTTTTTAAAAATTGTGTTCTGATGCATGCTCAATAATGCAGGTAGCTAAATCTAACAAAGTGGAGTCAGATCCTCTGGACCTGAAAAATCCATCCAGAGGACCTGACTCAACCTTGTTAGACTCTTGTTAGACTGAGATAGAGAAAAAACATTGTATCTTATGAATTAACAAATCAAAAAAATGTTTGTCTTATTTGACTCTTGTGATCGTCTGAAAGCAGCTAAACGAACTCAAGAACAGCCTCCTGGTACAAAAGCAGAGCTGTACTTTAATGACATCATTATTTTGTAACGTTCTTGTTCCTTTCATTGTTTAACAGCCTGAAGCTTTTAGTCAATTTACAGATTAAACTCACCATGTCTACACAAACAGCAGCAACTTTTGATTTAATCATTTTTACATTTGACTTGAACGGTCTCAAACGTGTGAAATTATGTTAAATATTTCCTAAAACTGTTGCTGGAAAAGGTGGAA